GGCCTCAGCTGCATGTCCCTCTGGACCTTGATCTCCTCATCTGTCATAGGGAGACACTGATTCAAAGAATTAAAAGCCTTATGGGTTTCAACAGCTTATGACTTTCCGAAGGCGGTGAACAGGGAGAACAGTAAGAGATACAGTTTTGAGTATGGGCTTGGCTACCAACTCTCAATGACCTCGGGAAGCCCCTGGCTCATCATCTGCAACACAGAACGCTGGACTAGATGATTCCAAGTATCTGTCCAATGATGTGAGTGACAGAGCGTCTCACACTCGCTAACCCATCGTATCCTCACAGTGCTTACATGGAATGGCAACCTGGGCCACTCTTTTTAGATGTGACGAGACTGAGGCTCAGAGAGACCATGTGACTAGCCCCAGATTACAAAATGACAAATAGCAAAAGCAGGATTTGAACACAATCAGGCAGACCCTTGCATTTGTGTGTCAGGGCAAAGTGACATCTGAATTTCAGCCTTGCTGTGTGACCCCAGGCAAGTCTTTTAACCTCTCTGGGCCTCCTTTTCCACAAATCTAGGTACGTTTCACAGTTCACACAGCTCATTTACTTTCATTAGATGTAAACAGTTCCGTGGGATAGGTGGGTAGGGTAGGCAGTATCATCGCCTTCACAGATGAGGAAACCAAGGTTCAGAGCAGCTGACAAGTTGCCAAGACCACACAAGGAGTCAGTGGGCAGGGATCTGAACTCAGTTCTTTTCCCTTTAAGATTTGGAAAGATGACGCAAATGGATCAGATGACACCCCAAGGATTCCTGGAAAGTCCTGCAGCCTGGCCCCAACCCACCTCTCCCCCTCCACTCTTCCCAGGGGTCCATATGCCCATTGTGGCCAAATGGAGCAGGGGCAGACAAGATGAGCAGGAAGAGACAGATCTCTGTCTCCAGGGTGGAGGGTGGGGCAAGGAGAGGTGGGAGGGGGAGGGAGGAGGTCCCCGGCACACCTCCCAGTTCTCGGGAGGGAGCCCAGGGTGGCAGGACGAGAAAGCCTGGCTTGGATTCAGAACCCTGGGGGGCAGAAGGCCGGGGCCGCCTGGGTCCGATCCTCGGAGGAGGCAGGCATCTCCACCCACCTTCTTCAGGTGCCTCTCTCGGCCTCCTTTCACCTACCAGAGTAAGAGGGAAATATGGGGAAATGGAGAGACCCCATTAGCCCCTCATTGTCCACAAAGCTAATATCCATGCGCTCTTCCTAGACTACAAATCCCAGAAGCCCCCATCTCAGGAAGAACTCTGAGCATGCTCACCTCCCAGTGTCTTGGCTCACTGAGCATGCTCTCATCTTCTCTTTCTTCCCCCTCAGGCCCTTTCCAGCCCTTCCTTCCTCCTCTGTAGCAGCTAAATTGAGCATGCTCTCTCCGTCCTACCTGAAGCACCCTGGGCTCCCAAAGCTTCCCGGCCCAGTACCAGTTGCACCTCACCTGTGCCTCTCCTCCCCACTGAGCATGCTCCACCTCCTCCCAACACCTCCTGAACTACATCTCCCAAAAACCCCTTGGGGAACCCACAGCGCGCAGCATACTAGGCCCACCCTCCCCAAAAAGGAACAAGACTACTGCTCCCAGAACCCCTTGGGCCAGGCCTAGTGAGCATGCTCCCTGGCTCACCTTTTTCCTTGGGGTGGGGGGCTCATTCCCTGCCTCCCTCTCCTTTCTTTTGGGGGGCCCAGGCACGTCCTCTGGGGGGGGCCCAGCAGGTAGGGGGCCCTTGCGCCTGGGTGGGGGTGGTGGAAGCGGCGGCTCCTCCGTCAGCTTCCATCCACTCCCCAGGCTGGCGCCCTCCTCGCCGTTGTCAGCCCTGCGACGGCCTGGTCCCTCACCTGAATCCTGGGGAGATGGAAGCTGGGGGTGAGGTTCTATCCAGCTCTCTGACCCACTGCATCCCCAGAGTCCAACACCCAGCCCAGCCCCTATCCTTACCTTGCTGGTCCGGCCTTCCTGGGTGCAGCGAGGGCACTCCCAGCAGTTAGGGATCTCCGCATTGATGACACCCTCAGCCTTCCCCATCTGTAGGCAGAGGGCAGGGAGTGGATGTAGGGTGCCAGTAAACCCAGAGGCAGCATTCCCCAGGGCCATCACCTTCAGACTCCAGGGCCCCCAGGGCCATCACCTTCAGGCAGCCAGGGTGGACGATCTCATTGCAGATTGTACACTCCATGAGGCTCAAACCAAATTTCTCTTCCTCTCCCTCCACTGTGTCCTCCTTTCCAGCCTCCCCACATAAGAGGCACACAGCTGTGTGTGGGAGCACGGGCTGTTGGGGAAGAGGGGGTGTTAGGGACCCTGAAAGCAAGCAGCAGGGGAGACCCTTCCTTCTGGGGAGCCTGGCCAGATGCTGGATGAAGTTCATAACCCACGGGCCAAGATAGATCAAATCCTCAATTTGATTTGGCAGTGTGACCTTGAACAAGTGATTTAACCTCCCTATATCTTTGTTTCTCCGTCTGTAAAATGGCGCTAGGCATTTTTCTTCTGCAGGACTATTGGAAGAATGAGATAATGCATGAAAGGCACTCGATACATAGTTGTTATCACTGTTGGAAATGTTGCAGCTAGAGTCAGTGTCTGTGTGTGTGACCCTGAAAATCGTAGCTGGCTTTGCCAAAGAGAAACACTGTGGCAAATATGACAATAGTACTGAGAGAGAGCTGCAGCAGATGTAGCAGCAGCTTGGGATGATTCTGAGTTTGCTCAATGGGCAGCCCAAGAGTTGCTCTGGAGCCTACAATGAACCAGGTTTTGGCAAGACTCCTGGGAACACTAAAAGGTCCCATGGGAAAGAGAGCGGCCTTCAGACAACTTGACTTTGGGGAAGGAAGTGGTAACACGGAGTCATCTGAGGGATGCTGAAGGTCAGGAGACAGCCCCAAGGAAAAAGTAGGTCGGGAAAGGAGGAACAGAAAAGCAAGTCAAGAGTTTGGGTACAAAGGGAGAGAACGGGGTGCTGTGGGGTAAAGAGGCAGCAAAAAGTGGCTGGAACGAAAAGGTGGTCCTCCAGGAGGGGGCGCAGGAGGCAGCTGGCTCCTTAAGGCTGCTGGAGAAGGGCCAACTTCTGGAGCCCTGGGAAGCTCAAAGGAAGAAACTCACATTCTTCAGGTACCTACTGTGTGCTGGGCCTGGCAGCAGAAACACTCACATCCATACTACTGTTTAATCTTTACCACTAGGCAAAGGAAATGTTTCACAGAAAAGATACCTTGAGGTTCAAAGTGTCTGTTCAAGGTCACACAAAGGGTAAGCCTGGCCTCAAATTCAAGATCCCTATGGCAGGTGAGGAAGAGGCCAAAGAAGGCTAAGACCTATTCACAGGGCCCGGCTCTGGAAGTGGATCTCTGCACAAATCCTTCTAGGGAGGGATACGAGACGGGGTGAGTTCTCTATGGGTCTGTGCCTCTGAAGCTGGGAAAAGCATGAAGGTAGGCACTAACTAGGTTAGATTCTTCTGGGTGCCCTAACATTGCCCCCAGCTTGGAGCTGAAGACAAAAATGGGCCTGATGGACATTCGGACAAAACAGTGAATAAATTCATGAACAAACAGCAACTCTACAGCACACGCTAGGAAGCAGCCCAACCCAGAAAGGCACTTGGGCCAGCTGGGGAAGGGTACCCAAAGCCCCAGGGCTGTTTGACGAGGTGGGGGCAGAACTCACGGCAGTGCACTGCCGGAGCAGGCACGACTGCTTCATGCGCCCGGGCCCCCCGAACTTCTTCATGTCTCGGCAGAAGTGGCAGTCCCCGCACTCAGTTCGCACACAGGCCCGGCAGCGGCGGCAGCGGGTTCGGCGTCGGCGCGCTCCGGCCCCCGGCCCCCGGCTGCTCGACGACATTGGGGGCGTCAGCAACGCCGAGGGCTATGGGTAAATGATGGCAGGGTCAGGTGGGCCCACCGAGGCCCTGGCCTGGGAAACTCCTAGCAGAGCCCTCCCCTTTCCTAGGCAACCAGAGCTTGCCCTCTTACCCAGGGAGAGACAAGGAGGTCATCCCTCCTGCGGGGGGGGGGGGGGGGGGGGGGGGGGGGAGGGGGAAGAAGGGGGACTACTCCCTCCACTCAAGACCTCTCTCCAAAGCAGCTCATCTGACTCCTCTGGGAGCCTGAGAACTGGCTTCCTGACCTCACTTCTCTTTCCTCCTTACACTTCCTCAGTGTTCTCTTGCCTAGCCCAGGGATGAGGAAGGGACTGGGCCTCTGCACTGACATCTCCACACCAAAGCTCCTTGGAAAGCCAGGGGCTCCTTTTCTGTGGAGTTACCTTACGGAGGCCCCAACCCTTCCTCTTTTATCCAAACGTAAATACACCCCATGCATTCCCCAACCTAAAATGTCCCAGACTTACCTCCAAAATACCCACAGATTCCTGGGTAGAAGCTCGACATTTCTTCCTCCCTCCTTTCTCTCTCTCTCACACACAACTACCACCCAATCTCTCTTCCCCCAAAACCTATATATTGTCAACAGATCCGAAGGGATGCCTGCCCTCCCCCATCCCTAAAGATTCACTCTGCTGACCAGGGCTCTGAGACACCCCCTCCCACCACGCTGCTTCAGAGCCATCCCTCAGTCCAACATCTCAACTCCTCTGCTCCCCACAGAGCTCCCTCTGCCCCAAGACACCCTCCTCTTGGATCTCTCAGGTCAATCTGGGCAATCTCCCAGATTCCCTGGGATTCTAGAATCCACCCTGACATCTCCACAGAACTCAGGATGGGCTCAGTCCTACATGTCTTCCACCCCCCAACCCCCAAGCTTTCCAGGCTGCTTTCCATTCCTAATTGTCTAGAATCCCTTGGGCTCCCCTTCCCATGGAAACCAGATCCTCCAAGATCCCATACAGACTCAGCAGGCCTGGAGGGTCTCTTCGTGGCCAGAGTCTTACCCCAGCTTCCCCCTTTCCAGGGACTTCCAGACCCATCCATGGGGGGAAGGGGCCCTCCAGTGCTTCAGGGGAGGGGCCTGGAGGGCGGCGACTGCAGGCGGGGATGGGGGTCTGCAAGGGGAAGCAGGGTCTAGGAAGGAAGGCCAGTTCCCCAGGGTTGAGAGGTAACAGGAAGGAGGGCTGGAGATGAGGAGTTTGGAGCAAAGAGAGAGGGCGAGGCTGGGGGCGGGGAAGGCAGAGAGAGGCCGGGCTGAGGATGAATGGGAGTGGGAGCTGCCCAGGTCTGGGGGTGAGGAGGAGCCGCATGAACCCACCTCACACGTGTCCCGGGAGCCATCTCTCCCTTCTCGGCAGCTCCCGGCGGGTCGGCGGCCATCGGCGGCGGGGGGGCCGGGCGGCGCGGGGCGCGGAACGCTCAGAACGCCGGGGTCCACGGCCCCCCGAGGGCGCTCGGCCCCTCCCTCCGGCGGAGGCCGGGACGGCGGCGAGTGGAGATGGGGGGCGCCAGGGGCGAGGCCCTCCCACGGGCTGCGGCGCGGCCCTTCCAGGGGGAGGTCCTGCTCTGGGGGGCTCAGTCCCTCAGCCCCCCCAGGCCAACGGGGGCTCCTCGGGCGCAGGGTGCTCAGCTTCTGCCCGGGCCCCACTCAGTCCGGGGTCTGAGTCACAGCTCCCCTCCCCCCACCCCACCTCTCCCCAGCGCCCCCGGCCCTTTAACTGGCCCCTTCCCGGCTCCCACTGCCCAGGGGTCCAGGGCCAGGCCTGGGCCCCCCCCCCACCGTTTCCGGGGTTCAAGCCCCGCCCACCGCCGGTTCCCGGGGAGGGGGGGGTCCCTGTAACCTGCCCCCCTCCCCTGGGCCCGCCCCTAGACTGCGGCCCCCTGCCCTAGGGCTACGGGGCGAGCGGAGGGGGGTGAGGGAAGCTGCTTCGGCCCCGCCCCCCCAGCCTGCGCGCACCCCCGCCCTCGCCCCCTCCCCCCAGCGCGCGACCCTCCGGAGATAGAGATTTAAATAAAATTTGAATAAATCCCCTTCCTTAAGCTGGAGGGTGGAAGGAAAGGATGCAAGTGGGCAGGGAAAGGGGGAGGGGGCAATTGGGGTGCCTCAGCCCCCCTGGTCCCCCAGCCCCGCGCTGCTTCGGCCCGGGGCCCTGGCCGCCTCTCTCATCCCTCCTGAGCTCCTTCCTCCTTCCTCCTCTCTTCCCCCACCCCTCCCTCCTCCTTCCCTCCTCCTCCTCCTCTTTACTCCCTCCTTCTCCCAGAGGAACCCCGCCCCCTGTCCCCTCCTTTCCCCACCACCTCCACTTTCCAGGGCGAACACGCGCAGGGCACGACGGAAATCGTAGTCCTGCGGCCGCCGGTGATACCGTGGGAACAATAGGATGCTGGGGCCAGCGGGGACTACAAACAAGATGGCGAAGGCGTGCCAAGCCGGGAGCCGAGGATGCTGGGAGTTATAGTCCGGTTGCCCTGAGGCTCCCCGTTGCAGAGGATAGAGAAGGAGCGGGAACGATGACTACAAACAAGATGGCCTTCTCCCCCGACCCGACCTCCTTCCCAGGCACTCACACGCCCTCCTGTCCACAACCCTCCGCGTGTGTGGTACCTGACGGGAGTCGCAGTCCATCTGCTGCCTTCCCGCTTCCATTTCTACTCGTCAGGAACAATGGAAAGGTGAAAAGGGATAAGGACTACAAACAAGATGGCGGAAGAGGGGCGTACACCTGACTAGCAGTCGGTCTTATGAGGTGCGATGGGAGTAGTAGTTTTCTAGCCTTCTAGTGTGCCTTAAGAATGGCGGAACCGCGAGAATAAGGAGACTACCATAAAGATGGCAGACTACCTGGCCTTTCCCTGTCGCCTCATTCCGCCACCTTGGGCTCCTCGCCCGCCCGTAATATCGAAATCCCCCTCCCCGTGGCGCAGAGCTTGACGGGAGTTGTAGTCTTCCCAGCTCCGCTCCATTATTTTTGGTCGAGACAATGGAAGGGGAAAGGGGCGGGGACAACCGGGAAAGTTGCCGGCCGGAGAGAAGGGTGACGGGAACCTGGGGTTTGTAGTCCGCACACTAAGTCCGCTCCCTGTGGAAACGGGAAAAAGGACTACGGTAATGATGGCGGCCTATCACTTGATCTCTGCGGCAGTGCCTGCTGGGGGACGTAGTCCCTTCCTTCGCTCTCCGGAGAAAGGACGTGGGCTGTTGAAATGTGCATCACGGCGGACACGCCAAATTGCGAGCCTACGGAAAGCGAGAGTTTCTGTCTTCTTTTCCCCACCACCTCTTTCTGAACGACCTGCCGGGAAATGTAGTCCCACGCCTTCACTCTCTAGCGGAGGGGGAGAATTTATGTCACCGGTGGGATCAATGCGGGTGAGGGAGAAAGACGTCCGGGCTATCTTAAGGAATATATAATGTCCGGCCCCCCCCCCCCCCCCCGTGTGGCAAGGACTTCCTATTTGATGGTGAGGCTCTTACAAGGAAAGCAACAGTATTCAGTATTGTCGCGACAAGGGAGGCGTGGTTCTCACCGAAAGTACCATCATGCTGTTGTCCCTTGGAAAGCTTGGGTGCCTCACACCCTATGCTTCTTCCCCCAAACCTCATGGAGTAGGTATCTTCCAAGTCTTGAGGACTCCAGGGTAAATGGAATCATACAAAATTCCCGCCCCTCCTTGGGAAGTCACCAAACCTTGGTTTGCTTATCTGAAAAATGGGGATAAGGATACCTACCTCCAAGTAGAGTTAGGTGTATTAGGACACAGTTCAGGAAAGCGCCCAGCTCAGGGCCTGACACGGGGCACGTGTTGGTAGTTCCTTTTTCGAGGTCCCATCCTGCCCAGCTTTTCTGGGATCCCAGGAATCCATCATGCCAAAAGGTCAGCTCCCATGAGAGGAAAACTGTGGCAGGCAGTCTACCCCCATCTTGAGCCGCACCCCCTCCTCTCCCCGCCCCCTTCATCTTGAGCCGCCAGCGTCCACTACCGAACACTGCTCCCAGGGGGCGCCCATTCTCCATTCGACTGAGATCCTGCCGCCGGCCAGATTCCTCAACCTGAGGCTGCAGGTTCTGGATAGAGCCCAGGCAGCCTTGAAGGCATCCCTCTAGACATCTCAGCTGCCAGAGCAGATAGGGTTGCTTCCCACCTTTGTGCCTTCTTATCTGCCTTCTCAATCTTCCTCCTCTGCCTGGAAAACTACTCATTTCTGACCCCAAGGCCTCACCCTTGCCCCCTCTCTCTTCTCTATTTGAAACAAGAGGGTTAGAGAGCCCTGCGGAAGACCTGGTGTGTGTGGTTTTTCTGTCCGGAAGTTAACAGCGGCCACAGTACTGTGAAGTCTTAAGTTTGCAGGGACTCCTTCAGGCTGAACTGAAGCGCTCCTTGCAGTTACCCCTTTGTCAGGAAATCCTTGGCTTCAGAAGATTGTCTCCTCTATGTCCTCACTGCTTTAGCGTTGGCTTGCATGATTGTTTAGGGATTTCTCACAGGTTTTTCCCACCGCCTGTTATTTCCTTCCCCTTCTTTCCTACTTTTCTACCCAATTAACTATTCATTCTTCAGGTTTCTGTTTAAATGCCACTGTCTCTGACTGAATCTATACTTTGATAGTTAAAAAATAATAATAATACAGAGGTGCCTGGGTGGCTCAGCCGGTTAAGCGTCCGACTTCGGCTCAGGTCATGATCTTTGTGGGTTCGAGCCCCGCGTAGGCTCTGTGCCGACAGCTAGCTCAGAGCCTAGAGCCTGCTTCAGATTCTGTATCTCCCTCTCTCTCTGACCCTCCCCTGCTTACGCTCTCTCTCTCTCTCTCTCTCAGAAATAAAAAAACATTTAAAAAAAACTTTTCAATAAATTAAATTAAAATTAAATTAAATTAAAAAATGCCACTGTCCCAGTGAAGTCTTCCTGCAATTCCCACATGAAGTTCATTTATTGACTCTTTCGCTACGTTGTAAGCCTTATAAGGTGTTCACCTCACATGTTATTAAGTGCTCTCAGCATCTTATTTGATCCTGACAAGAATCGAATGAGGTAGAATCCCATTTTATAGATGAGGAAACTAGGGCCCAGACTGATGAGCTGTAGAGCCAGGATTCAAACCCAGAAATCCAGAGCCCATCCTAAGGACTACTGCAACATCCACAAACTGATCAAATCCAGCCAAATGTGTGTGCTTAGTTTGGCATAGCAACAACAAATCTCTCCTGCAAAAATGGATTTCCATTTTCACTTGAAATCCTGAAATGTAGCCACGCTCAGTCTCTGTTCTTTGAACAAGAAACGATGACTGGGCCTGAGCAAAAGGCTGTCGCTTTGGATAAGACGTGTGCTCCCCAGTGCAGCACAGTCCTCTCCCCGCTTGCTTCAGTCCGAACATAAACATTATCGGGCCCACTCCATTCACTGAGACAACCAGAACGAGCCTACTTAGGGTCAAGGCCATTCCTTATACTGTATGTATAGCACCGCAGTGCCAGGCTCTGTGCGTGCGCCCACAGCTGGGTGGGTAGGGGGGTGGCAGAGTGAGATTGCATATATAAGATATAGGAAGACTTTTTTTTTTTTAATGTTTTATTTATTTCTAGGAGAGAGAGAGAGACAGCGTGAGCAGGGGAGGGTCAGAGAGAGAGGGAGTCACAGACTGAAACAGGCTCTAGGCTCTGAGCTGGCAGTCAGCACAGAGCCCGATG